AAAAAAAACCCACAGGCGCAGGATGATATATCTCCTTGTTCACCAGTTGATGCTTGACCCCTTTCCCAACAGGCGGAGAACTCGCTTCTGAAGGTCCCGCAGGACCAAAAGTTAGTCCAGCGGATTCACTCAGCATCCTGTTATGTCTCAGCCTCTTCACCGCACTGTGCAACCGTTCTAACCGGAAGGACTCACCATCAAAGAAGAGAACAGCATCACTGTCTTTGTAATCCTCACTCGTTCCCTCAAAAATCATCTTGGGCTTCCCGGGCTGTATGTTTTGGAACTCGACTGTGACCTTGTTGTCCTTGCTCTTGTGCAATGTACCATGCTGATTCTTATCAATCGAAGCTGGCTTGAACTCATCTGTTATAGGAAAGAAAAAACCATCCAAGATCAATGCACAAATCTAAACGATAACTTCCGAAAAAGCTAAATCAACGAAATGAGACAATCATAACCACCAAATTAGTGCAAGCCAATCAACAAATCAATCAGCGACGACAAATAAGAAAAAGAAAAAAAAGAACCCAATTAGGGTATTTCCTCTTCATCAACAAAAACCTACAGGCAGTTAGAGATGTATCGGTGGATAACAAACAGCCAGAAACAAGTATGAAGATAGTAGAGAGAGAGTTAGGCATACATCGGAAGGTGCGAAATTTGGAGGGATTGTGATCCTTGAAGGATGAGCCTAGAGTTAAATTGTACCACCGATCGGCTTGCGGCGCTGTGCTTGGCTCATTGGTATTGTTTATCCCAGCCATCTCTATTAGCGATTTTTTCATCACAAATTCCTGCAAGTCATTTGGGATTTTAGTTTATACATACCGCTTGGTGGAGAAGGTTTCCTCATCTTTCAACAATTGGTGGAGAAAAGCCTAAAACCAAAATTTGCAAAATTTGTAACCCTAATTTTACATTCAACAGCCACTCAAGGAAAAATCCAAAATTTAAAACTCAAAAAGTGAATTACGCTTCATAATTTGTTGAAACAAATTAAATGCCCCTCTAACTCATGGTAAGCCGACGTGGGACTGTGACTGACATTTACTCTTGTTGATAGTTATAGTATAAGAAATTATTTGCCGAAACTGTCTGCGTTGAAACTTGAACGGTACCCTTAAATCGAATGATATGATCGCGAGTTTAGGAATAAGAACTTTGTCACTGACTATGGCACGCGGTTAAAATCTTGCATTCGAGGACATGGGCTTAGTGATAACCAATTGTCTTCTTGTTGACATCAAAATTTGTAAATAAAAAAATATCATTGAAATTTATGCTAAGATTAAATAAAATATAGATGATAGATAGAATTATAATGAACGGTACCATTGCACAACCCAATGGAGTGATTAATGTTTTTGAGAAGCATCACTAGAGTGCCGACCTTCAAGTGCAGTTTATGGTTCGGAAGTCCAGAGCTATTGATTCCATTGACAAACTCAGGAGTGTGAAGATCCTGAAGAGAATCATATCGAGCATCTGACTTGCACGGGGTGTCCGAACTCAAATAAGTCCTTCCCTCGGATGAGTTCAGTGAGATCATGTACTCGTTAACGAACTCAACCACATTAACTGTGGGAGCGAGTGTGGTTCTGTCCTTCAGATAGCAAAGATTGTCGCCTGAACTCCTGAACATCGGGTAGGTACTCTCAACAATAGTAGCAATAGGATCCCCTTGTGAGTGTAGAAAAATATCATCGGAGATGTCGATATCGTCACAACCATCGTTCGATCCACGTACTGTACCGTCGTCGATGCTTGTAAGCCACTCCGAGAAGTGCCTCAACTCTTCGTACTGATAACCCCCACCAAGGCTTCGAAGCCTCATATTCTGAGTCTGTCTCATAGAGATACAATCGCGCCACAACTTGGATGAATTGATGGTGGCATTAACTATGTCACTTCAACTACCTTTAGGGACAATGAGGAGTATTTGTCTGAAATCCCCACCAAACACAACAGACTTGCCGCCAAATGAGAGATTTTTTCCTCGATGGATCAACTACTTCCATTAAGGCTCGCAAGGTGTTGTCAACAGCCTAGAAGCAAGATTTGTTCATCATCGGGGTTCATCCCAAATGATCAACCGACATCTTATGATCAGTTCAGCCAAAGGACTCTAATGGCTAATGTCACATGTAGAGCCTTCCATTGGGTTTAGTGGGATTTTGAATTGTGACTGTGCAGTGCGTCAGCCGGGCAACAAAAGTGATGCGATACCGCTCGATGAAACGTTCAACACAATTCCGGAGATGCGGCCATGGGTACGATAAACAAAGTCCATTATCGAGTCATAAACATTCCGTTGCTCGTCAGTCATATTGGTAACCAACTCATGGTTCTCAGTAGCGAGTGCACGATGATCGTACGTCAACTCATCCATCAACAGTCTATTCGTGGATGCCTCATTACGATCGAGATTAGAAAAAGACATTGTGCCATACTCACGTGAACTCATCCTACGTCTGCGCAAGATCTATGCAACCTCCGCCAAAGCCAGATTCTTTACTTCGTCATTGCACATCACCAATTCTGTAAAAACAATATAAAAAATATATATAAAAAAGAATGAAATAAGAAAAAGCAAAAAATAAATAAACATAAATAATTCGTTTACCTGGATGTTGTAAGACCCTATGACGATTATATAATATATCATATGATAGGTAAGACCAGTATGATTCCCGCAAAAACTCTACTCGTCTGAGAGTATTAGAGGACAACAAAGTCACAAAAAAATTTCTCAACGAACTTGCGCTGGACCATTGGCTTGCCTCAATAATGCCTTCAATATACTCTTTGTTGTCCTCCACCAGACCGAGGGAATAACACGCGTCGCGATAAGAATCGTGTTGTACGTTGTTTAACTTCATGTTGTCATGATGGCAGGTTGCACCCCGAACCATATTGATAAGACACCTTAAGTAATATATGTCACCAACATCAGGTGGGACGAAGTACAAATACGATCGCCTCATTTTCTAGGATCCCAAATGTTCGTTACGGGTGCCATGTAAATTTAGTGGGAACCACGATGTTTGTCAATTCTCTGGCTTCGGTATACTTATTGTTAGCTTCCATCTAAGCCAAAAAAATTTTCCGACATTTTTATTTTTCTTAACCACTTCATCGATCAGAACTTCGTCGTCACAGTAGCAAGGATGCTCGTTCTCGAGGTGAAAATTCAAGCGCTCGCCGATGAGTGCTTGTACTGAATCTCAAACTCCAACAACCGCCACACAACTTCACAAGATGAAATGTACCTACAATCATAGCACATCTTCACTTCGTCAACAGGTCTGCTGGAGGACTCGTCACCATTGGATTTACAAATGGTGGCAGTAACACGATCATTCCCCTTGTTCACGTCTTTGAACAAATATTTAATTGACCTTGACTGGTTGCACCACTCCATATTGATGTGCGCACCGTACTTAAGCAACGATTTCTTGTTATCAGGAACCACATATCTATTATCTGGGGGAATGTCGTTCATTTCTATGCTCCGACCATTGTCACACCGCCTATAGCGTGGGTAAACTTCTTCATCAAGAGTGGTATTTTTGGAGAACTTTTACGGAAAACGCTTCGTGCAACAATAGGGTCCGTGCATCATATGATCTCTAACAGCTGCATAGTAAAATGGATCGGTGGCCTTCGGCAATATTATTTTATCTACGCCCTCGGTAGATTTTATCTTGTGTTCTTTGGCAAGGAATAGCAAGATAAGCGCATGCGGAAGACACGCTTCTGAAATTCAATCGTGTATATCGCTGCAATAGAAACATTTTTTTCTAAAAAGAAAAAAAAAATACACAATTTAATATCTATATAAAAATTAAATATATTTAAAATATTTTTAATAAATACCTACATTCACATCACCAGACATCTTGTTATGACGAAGATCCCTCATCAATGCATCCAACTTAGCCTTAAATACCCGACAAATTATATCAGGGCGATCCTCGGGATTGAGATTTCTTTCAGCGAGAAAATGACTAGTTTCTGGCCACTTCGGGTTGTACGTGAAGGTGATGAAAATATCAGGATAACCGATTCAACGGCAAATGGACATTGCATCCTGATAGTTTTGAATCATATATCTCGCACCCCCGTGAAGGATGACAGAAGTATAATCTGTTTGCCTTGAGAACCAAGATTAGTGTTACCACAACACAACATCAGAAAAACGGTTGTACAATTCGGTACTCAAATTCTTTTGGTTGAAACGGATGTATCTGAGCCGAGCTCCCTCCACCATTGTATAGGCATCCACATCAAACTGTTCATACAACCTCCGAGCGGAAAGGATTGAAGACAATTCGTCGTCACGATCGTGCATTTGGTATTTGAAGAACTCCAATGCACTGATAAATTTCCTCGACTTCTTTGTAATGAATTTTAGGTAAGAGAATAAAATATCCTCCCGGTAACCATCCTCGCCATACAGAAATAGAATAGGATAATGGAGAGCCAAGTATGAAGCGTTCAACTCGTTGATACGCTGCAGACGTCTTCTCCGATTTTATACTATGATATCCTGGCTGCCTATAGCATCATCAAAATCGCCAACAACTAAGGCAGTAACTTCTGACGTGGATGGTAAATTATAACGGCGGCCATCCTTGATCCTTTTACCGATAAGCCGCATCTTAACTTCACAATCTTGGTGCTGATTTTCCTTCTCCCCAGCCATTCGAAACATCTTTACCAGCACATTGTGATGGTCGAGCATCTCTTTCAACCACGAACTACATCCTTTCAGTACCTCTCCAGAAATAGATAAATAGAATTTAAAATTTGAATATTTTTTATTTCAAAATGAAAATGTATAAAAAGTAGACTTATCAAAACGGGGCCTGGGTCCGCGGGCCAGCCCGCCCCGCCCCGTCCCGCCAAACAAGCAGGT